ATATAATGATGCTAGAGTTCCTAACCCATAATATGAATACTTTTTTTTTATTGTTTCTTTTCAGTCTCACCAACAGTGAGCAACTTGCCACTTACAGTGAAATAATACTGTAACTCTGTGCGATTAGTTGTAGGAGATTTGAACCTAGGACCCTGGAATTTGAAAACAAGGCGGAACTTTTTAATACCTTTTTTAGCGAACCCACCACCCGCCAATAATGATTGTTTCGAATAAAATGGAATTTTATTTTTGGCCAATTTGCGCACCCACCGCCATGAAAAATTAGAAATTTCAGAAAGTAATACAAATTTTTCTTTATTTTTATTACAACTGCCGCTGCCTTGAAATCTCCAAAAATAAGATATGTATATTTCTTTCTAATTTTTAAATTAAAATTTTACATTTACCAATAAAATTAAATTTGTATTTTCCCCTCAGTCTGAATGTTTTTGGCAAAACCATTTGCTAAAAATAAAGAAACAAAATTTTACTTTTTATTTTTTTTTTCTGCCTTTTTCTGACAATCCCTAAAAAAATAAGTTATGAAAACAAGGTATAAAAAAGTATCGCCTTAAGTACCAAACCAAGCACCACATATTTCACTCTACATAATATATAATGTATATAATGATACATAAAACATACATGCATATTACTGATTGTGTGCACATGGTTTCAAACCCTATCCAGCATATCAAATTTTCTAACAAAACAACCGTTGCATACCTAAATATAGTCATGATATGCCTATATACGGTCATCAATGACCATATTTGGGCATGTGACATGTTTCTTGTCTACTAAAATTTCATAGTCTGGACAGAGCTTTAATGAATGAAAAATGAAAGAATCCTCACAGGCATTGTTTGACATTGGTGCAGGTTGTTTATAGCTGCTGCAGCTTCTTTTCTAGTACTGAATTTAACGAAAGCACATCCTGAAAATAATTACATGTAGAAACACATTAAATACACATGCAAAAATATCTATCATCCGAATCTGATTCAGGTTCATATTCGAATGACAGACAGTTATATTTGGTGCAGTTGAACATATCATTCATAGCCTTGATATCAATCATAACGACATATAGTAGGTCAACCGTCAACCATAATGAATTGGTACAAAATATTTAATCTACTATCTATGATGATGTTGAGACACATACTGAAGTTTGAAACAAGACTAATAGTGAAAACATAGGCCTTGGCATTATATAAAATATTACATCAATATGTAGTGCAAAATTACGTTCAGTTGTGGCAACACTTTAGTTGATTAAAGCAATTTCCTCTGCCATTAGTGGCAAATGCTTTGTCGTTAATAGCGGCAATGATTAGTCACTAGCGGTGATGCTCGGTAATTAGTTACATTGCTTCATCCTTAGTTGCAATGCTCAGACATAAGTAGTAATGCTCAGTAATTAGGGGCAATGCTCAGTCATTAATGGCAATGCTCAGTCATTAGTGGCAATGCTCAGTCACTAGCCATTGCTCTATCCTTAGTTGCAATGCTCAGTAATAGTGCCAATGCTATACCCTTTAATAGTTGCAATGCTCAGACTCAGACTTATAGTGACAATGTTCATTTATTATGGGCAATGTTCAGTCATTAGTGGCAATGCTCAGTCATTAGTGGCAATGCTCAGTCACTAGCGGCGATGCTTATAATTAGTGGCAATGCACATTAGTGGCAATGCTCAGATAAGGTTTTAGTTATGCTCAGTTTAATATTATTAGTAATGTTGTTTTATAGCAATGCTCAGAATTATTAAAATATTCATTATGTATATTATATTCTCTATAATACAGAGGTTGGCTATACCGGTCTAATCATTAGCATTAGCAGATTTTTTTTTGCCTTTCTACAAAAGCCTATGATTAGTCTATTAAGTTATCAACATGGCTTCCTTTGTTGATGAATGAACATTAAATTTCCATTTTAATACGGTTCAAACCCACGTTATATAAATGCATCAACTACAGTAAGACTATACATTATTGTAACTTGTCTTCAATGCATAAAACAACTTTTTTAATAATAATCAAGTGAACAGATTCTTTGTGCGACAACAAGTGCTCAACATTTGTATTGATATGCATTTTTATAATGCCTTACCTCCCCTGGTTGTAACATAGTGACTGTAGTATTTTTTTTAAAACTCAACAAGCCTAGCATTTACAGGGTTGATCATGCCACCATATTTGACCAGTATTAGCTTTAAGACAATTTTATAGCTATCAGCACGTGGCCTAGCTACAAACATTTACTGCTTGTCAAGGTCTATACCCAGTAGTTTTTTTTTTTATCTCTTTGTAATTCCCTTTGGGAGTTAATGATGGTAGGCTACAGTATTTGATGAGTTCTTTGTAAAATCCATTTCATTGGAGCCTTGCAAAACCACTGTCATTATTTTTAGTATTTATATGGGTATTTTTGAAGCCTTCCAAACTATCAAACATTGAAATCTATAACCTTTTGTGCAATTTCAGTACATAGAGTGAATGTTGGTTGTTTCGCCATCTCAGCACAAAGATTCATGCAGTATCTGAAGTTTATATTATTGAATTTTATCTAATATAATACATTTTATCAATTTTTTGGCATCATGTGTCTGCTATGCCAATATATAATATGTACGTAAACTAAATGTCAGCATTTGGGGCTTAAGTGTGGCTTTACCATGGTTTTGCCGATACTTTCTTGTGGAAATTTTCAGAAAGTAAAATCAATACTAAAATAATATTGATAGATTTACTTGCTACTGTAATGTTAACATTAACTTTATGGTGCTAACTCAACTCCATTAAATCAAAGCTGTATGACACCCTAGGTTTCTCCAAAATGTCAAAGTCATTCCAAAAGCAATACTTTAAATAAGAATACTAATTCATGCATTCCAAATGATACACAAGATTTCCACTTTGTATTACATAAATGCTTGCATGGTGGCACTGTTTAATGAGCATACAACCATTTTTTACGCAGCTTGTCTTGCATTATTGCTAAATAATGCCACCATGCCAGAATATGGCATTCCAGCTTGTGACAGTTATTTTATACCCATAATGAAAAATAGGCAAATAATCAGAGAACTTTCTGTGGTCCAAACCAGTAACAGTGAAATAATAATAATAAATAATAATAATAATAATAATAATAATAATAATATTTTTATCATTATTTTTATTATTAATTTTATTATTATTTTTATTATTTTTATTATTATTATTATTTTTATTATTATTATTATTATTTTTGTTATTATTATTATTTTTATTAATAATAATAATAATAATTAAATAATTATAATAATTATTGTATATTTATATAGTGCATATCTAAAGCTCTATGCAATTTAAAATTAATTATTACACTAAAATTACACTGTTCCCTGGTCCAAACCCTCTTTTCTCCAACCTTCCTGATTAACTGAACCATCCTACCGCCTTGTATCAAATACCATCAGAAACAAGATGGGAATTGTGAAATTGACCTTTTACATGCTAAAATTCCTCAGAACACATTGTAAAGCTCTTCCCACAGACCCTACCAGGGGCAGGCATTCCTAATCCCCTGACTTCCACCAGTAACCCCTTCTTAAAGGAATCCTGATTATTAGCATGAAACAGCATAATCTTTTATCTTATTTTTCTACGCTGAAAATCAAGATTTTATTAAGGCTAATTAGATGGATATTGCAGTAGGAACGCAAGGTACAGTATCATACGGTGTGTTTAATGTCCAAATAAAATGGCAGCGAAAGAGGCAAGTAACAGGCAGCCCAACAGGCAGTTAATCTGAATTTAACGTACCAGCTAAAGTATGCAATCTAGTATTGCATTACTGCATAATTATCTCATTTGCTTATAAACCACAGCATAATACATGCACTCAACATAATATATCAAAAGTATTATAATATATTAGGTAGGATTTTTTAGTAAAAATTATTTTCTAATATTAAGAAATCATAATAAAAAATCATAATGAGATGTATTTGTATCTTTATTCCTGAAGATGACCCAATAAAGGTCAAAACTTCCCCTCATTATTCAGAGTAATGTTAGATGTATTTGTCTGTACAGTATTCGAGTCTCTTCAGAAAATTAAATTTTAATGAATATTAAAAGCTAACTCAAATACATTCAATGCTCCAAAAGGTTTTAAATTAGAACTCCTCCTAAATTAATGTAATGTTAGTAATTTATATAGAAGGCCAACTCAAACAGCGTCATGCGACACAGCCTTGACTTGAATAGTTGTCGGGTCTGTGTGATTTAAATGCAGACACGATTATTTGTGTCTGGGTCGTGTCTTAGAATATTAAACATGTTTAATATTTCTCACAACAGCTTAAAACTGTCCCTGACAATGAATCGCGTCAGGCTGCGTCATACAACGCTTTTTGAGTTAAAATAGGTCTTAATTATATAATGCCTGGTATTTTTTAATTAATCAGCTTTTAAGCTTACATCATATTAAGGATATTAGTCTGAGCATACCTTTGCTAACACCATTTGGATCTCTTAATATTGTACATTCTTCAATTTTACCAAAAGGATGAAACAATGCCCGCACATCGTCTTCAGTTTGGTGCTTATTGAGCATACCAACAAACAATTTACGATCCTCTGCGGAATTGGGAGAAAAAAATGAGTTATAATAATACTACTGTAGATAATACATGAATTTAAAAAGCAGTTATGACCTAAAAAACAGTGAAGTAATTGATTATAATGATGATGATCATTATCAACAACATCTTTCATCAATTATAGTTACCAACGTCAGATTAGCGTCAACCATCAACCATCAGTGACAACTGTCAACAACCATATCATCCTCATTATTAAATTATCATCTAATTTCATCATCACGCTCGCCTCTTTCCAAAAGAGTGAAGGTGCTGTTGGCCTGGAGTTTGATGAATAAATTCCCTGTATGGGGAGCATGTATGGGGAGCAAGGTGCTGTTGAGCACAACAGGCTGGGTTATATTTGGCAAGAAATAATAATAATAAAAGCTTGTAATGCACCATAGAATGATCAAAGGCGCACTGTATGAGATGCCAGAAACTGCAATACTGACAAAAAGGAATTATGGCAACAGGACTTGTGAGCACAGTAATCTTGAGTTCAGTACTTCATTTATAAATTAAACATGGATTCTGATTGTAACATGCTTTATAGATAAAGATTTACCAGGGATTTATCAGTTATTTTGTAGAACACACATTGGAATCGACATGTGTGTAACATGCATTTTGTTACATGAATTCATTTATTCTATAGAGGCCATTCTGGAATTCTATTTTGTAACATGAACATGGGGAAATCCAGAAAATGGCACTCTCAGACCTAAATTTTTCATTATAATTCTTTTTATTCACCTTTTTTTTACACCCCTTTGAATCCGCCACTGACGAAATAGGATCGAGTGTGCTTTCTTGGCAAGACCATACTGCAGATGTTTTGACCTGCTTTGTATAATTTGATTAGGATTGTACATAAACAGTCAGCCCCTAAATAGTGATTAAAGTAACGATGTGTGCATATTTTGATTGCATAATTGCCAGTAAAATTTGCATAATTATGTGTACTTTCTCAACGCATTCCGAAACCCCAAAGGATGATAGGCAATTTCCGCGACACCTCTAGACATTGATCTCAACACATTAAAACCCTTGCACGCTGCAGTAGCTTGCAATGAAATGACAGCACTGTGTACGGTGAAAAGAAATTGTACTATGTGCACAAAAGAAAATAAGATAAAACCAAATTTATTGTCCCATTAATATCAAAATTACTGTGCATTAAAATGAAATTGATATAATAAAGTAAAAATTTTAAAAAATAATAAGACATAGCTCCCACCACAAAAGCGCAACCAAAACAGTGACAAACAAAAATGAAAATCCTTCACAACACCACTACCACTACCAGCCACTATCACCATGACCACCAACTGGGGTTCTAATCTCAATTTGGTGGACCTTTCCACGAAGCCACGCCCCAATGTTATTGTTGCCAAGGGCCCTAGAAAGCGAAAAAATACTCAAAATAGTGGGACATGTATGTATTGCTGGTTATGAACACATTCTCATTGGTCAGTTTGACCGACACTCTGAAAGGTCTGTTGTGCCATATAGTGTGTTTTGCCAGGAGAAAATCACATGGTATTCAACTAAGAGTGAAGAAGCCTAAGAAAAAGATCAATCAATCAATTTCAATTTTGCAGATACTTTTTACTACAAAAAAAATTGAATTTCAATGCATGTCTAGAAACATTCTGCAGGGAGCACATATATATTTTATTTTATCATGTAAACAATAAACAAAATTAATATTATTAATATTAATACTATGTATAATAATGGTAATTAAATAAATTAAAACAAATTTAGAATGAATTAAATTTATAAACTAGAGTGGTAACTTCACTCCGCCATCCTGTCCCTGAAAATTGAATAAAAAGACCAAAAAAACTGACTTTCTGTGACCTTGACCTATGACCTTTTTACCCACCAAAACCACCTCTGCCATAGACAACTGTGACCACTTCACTAAATTTCATGAAAGTTGAATTTCACAATCATAAATAGTTATATTAATCAAATTACGAGAAACAATATCCAGTACTTTTCCATTTTTTATATCGAACACTAAATGTTATAGCATATATTTTTCTTTGTCAGAATTGTGATTTATCATTGCTAGGAACATCCTATCTGTTGACCTGTATATCCATAATAAAGAGCATCTTCTTGAGGGATTCTACTGTAGCTAGATCAATACGCTGTTTAATTATGTTGGATATCGCTGGATACCCACAGTACAATATTGACCCATACATTATTATATACCTTGGTTGGCTAGTTAATGCATACCCTATTCATACTTATGAATATATAATGTAGCTTAATCAATTGGACATGGAACAAAGGACTCAGCTGGTACGCTAAATTTTTAGTAGCTTGGGGAGCCATTGCATCGTTGATTCGTTCATTATGAAGTGGAGACAATATCCGGTGCGCAATAATTATGTTGAATAGGCTTCAGTGCAAACGGCATGACAGAAATGTCGTCTATATAAAGAATTTCATTCATTTTTTGTATTGACGTCGATTCTAAATATCATTTTACATGGTTTCGAAAAAAATTACTTTATAAGAAACATATTTATTTTCGGGAGCTACAAAATGTAAAATTCAAAAAATCAGTAAAAGTAGCATTATGTATTATAAATTGCTACTGCATTCAGCTTTTTAAATGTATTCATTGCTGGTACTTAATTGTAACAACTTGACAGAATGTTTGATAGAACACTGCAATGAACCACCTTCCACACAGACCGAATATAAATCTTGAACCTCAAGACAAATCAAATGTGAGGTGTTGTCACAGTCTTTTGGTACTAAACAATAAAAATTTATATTTACAAAGACGGTGCATTATAATCTCTATTTTGATTTTGAATCAAGTTCCTAGTTAAGTACAGCCAGAGTAAGATTATTTTCAAATTCAGATGTCTAAAAACGTACTTTAGAGAAAATTGCCTCTAACAACAAACATACCTGATAAATTTCTTGTAGCTTTTCCTATCAATTCTGAAAAACAGTTTTACAAAATGGGTCTCAAAACACTTAAGCGCAGTCAGAACATTGGCTATGATGTAAAACCATGGAGCAATAAAATTAGCTACATGGTAAAACATACATATTAACACTGAAACCAAATTTAGACAAAATATGACTTCATATAATTTATATTGACCTACACCTCACAAATATCTAATTATTATAAATATAGGTAAAGATATATACTCTATGAATATGTAAACAGAGGAACTCGTTTTTACTCCAGCTAATTCCTCATCTTAGCTGTTAATGATCATAAATTTTGAGATCTTCAAAAAAATGTATCTCTTTATATATCATATAAAAGTATATAACATAGATAATATATACACAGGGCTCAAAATATATTATACAGCAAGACCAGCTAGATCAGCTATTAGATTTGATCAATTTATGAGTTATCAATCTTGATGCCTACGCAAATATTAGTCAATCTGTATCTTAATGGTTGAGTAAGTTGCGTACTTTACAATCCCAGGGTTCTGCGTTTAATCCTGGCAAATGCCAGGCAAAATAAGCATACTCCGTAAGCTTTATATTTTTTCAACATTATGCTAATACACCTGAATTCATTATAATAATTATTATAGTCTATTTATAATAATTGAAATCTAAATTTAAATCTGATTAAAGCAACTAATTCTTCACACTCTTGCACATGCATAGTTGGACAGCACTAGTCCTTGATGCATGGCAAATATAACAGATCAATATGAAGCACCCTCTTCTAAGCATTTGAAGACAGGATCTCCAAAGAGGTTATTTTGTAAATAATGTATATATAGTATATATTATCCAATTTTTGATTAATAAGAATTAATTTGACTCAATTGCTTCAATTGAGAAGAGTATGAATCATATATCTTATAACAAAAAAAGTTTACAATTTAAGTTTTTGACTACCCTACTTGTTTATTAAAAGCAATATTTTCTATACAGTAACCCATATTGCACCGACAAAATATTCAAATGCTAATATAGTAGGAGCCATTCCTTTAACTCGAAGAATGCATACACATGAGATTTTGCCTGTTAAACTCAACATTGTTTGATCAAAAAATATATATATATAGTACAGTATATGTTGGGCTTCAGACATCTTAACAAATTGTATTTCTGTCTCTAGAACACATAGTTTACTTTACTTAAAAAAATGAATTTACTGTATCTCTGTGTCTGTTTGGACTTGCATGATGTTAAATACCGATTGAAGTCGCTCCTGTTCTATTATATGTACCCGCAATACAACTGTTTTTCTAGTTTGTTTTGCTTTGATAAATTTGCTTACGTATGTCAATGAAGCTCGAGATTGCGTGCATTACACTGATAGCACTGTGTGTTTGTCAACACTTCTAGCATGACTTTTGCATTGATGAATTTGCTTGCGCAATTCTCTGTAGCTCAGATTGTTTCTAGTGTTTTTCGCATTGATGAATTTACTCGCTGGAATTATGTGTACGCTTCTAGTGTCTTGCATTAATGAATTTTCTTGTGCATATATGCGCATGTCCGTCTATATAGTGGCTCAAATGGTTTCTAGTGCATTTGAGTTTACTTGCGGAATTATGTGTAGTCTTCTAGCATGGATGCATTAATGAATTTTTCTGTGTACATTATGTCTGTGGTGCAACGATTTTTGTAGTGTTATGAACCGACAAATTTAGATTCTTGTTTGTGTACACTTTTGTGTCTTGCATTGATAAATTTGCTTGTTCATGTGTGTACTCGTCATTTGACCTGCTACATTTACTGTTTATGATGTTGACGACAAAACCAATACATTCTGTAAGAGTGTTCTGAGTGCAACCATATATCTTCCTACTTCAATTACATGACGTTTTCTAAGTTCATGAATTATAACTGTAAGATACGCAAATTAGCGTACAGAAATATATGTACACAAACACAATTATAGTTTCCATGTCCAATACCTAGCTAACAGTAAATTTTTGGTCCAGTACTAATATTTATTTAGGTAACAGTAGTATTATTTAATGTTTATTTTCATGTAATTGGTACAACTGTTACTAAGCTTCTGTAAATATTTTATAGCATAGAATTTGTATTGGAAATGAATCATCACTCTATATGAAAATTTAACATAAATGCAAATATAAAATTTAATTAAATTCCAATTAGTATCAAGTTTATGAACCGTAATTTAGTTATTATTTTATCATCATCATTAAAATAAGATCTTATTTCATATTTTATTAATTATCCTTTTCTATATTAATAAGACTGGACCATTTTGAAAATGTAAAGTCAAAATAAAGATCTCATATATGTGGATGTAATCTTTAATCTCATGAATTATTTAGAAACCGGAAAGATCACCAGGACTCTCCTGTAAATTGACTGGGAACAGAGGGATAAGAATAAAAATATTAGCATTTTAAGCAATGTTTTAACTTTACAAATAACTAAATCCTCTCTTCCTTACACCCTCACATCAGTTGCATAATTAATTGTAGGCCCACTAATAAAACAATCCTTTAAAAAATCATAAAAAACAAAACTCAATGGTCAAATCACCACCTTGTCCTGCCTCTCATATACAATATCAGATACCCAGAGAAAACATGTCCATAGTTGGTTAATCCCCTAAAACTGCCTCATATGTGCAGTTAAGTGGCACTTAAATCGTAATCTCCATGAATAGAGCTGATGTACATTATGTTAAGTGGGCAAAATATTTTCATGTTTGGAGGCCTAAATATTTAATATCAGGTTAATAGCAATGCAAAGAAACAAAAAATGTTCATAATCATTGGTGATTACTTTGTGTGGTATTGTCAAGAATTTTACAAATTTTGTAGTAGTTACATGAAGAGTTAATGTGTGTCATTTAATGTAACTTTTATATTTTTCATCCAGGGTGTTTCCTTTAGTTTAGACCTTGAGTCTGTGGATCCCATCATTTTGCATCTGCTTCATTGTGTTTGATTTTTCTGTTTTTGTGATTTTTTAATGAGACAAAATGAAGAAAAAAAGAAGATGATGTTAATATTTATGTTGTTCACATTGATTCTAATAATTGATAATTATGATTATGATCATGTTATTGTTATTGATGAAGGTGATGATAATGCTGATGATGCTGAATGGTTGTTGACAACAATGATGATGAAAAGATGACAATGAAACTTAATAATAACCAGTATTAATAAGAAGTAGTACAGTAGTAATGAAAATATTGTTTTAGTTTCCTTCTATACATGAACCACAATAAAACATAATTACCTTTGAAAATTTTAATCTCACTAAAAGATCTTATTCAACTCAGTTGTTATTTCAGTCAATAATAGTAATAACAATCTTGTATTATATTATTACTTGAATCAAAAGCGACCAAGGAAGAAAAAGTTCATACACATTAACACATTAATTTCATGATTTCTAGATTCCATACAGGTTTCTTGAATATTCCTTAATTCCATTATTCCTGTACTAAAAATATGCACTTACAGAAAACCATCAAGTTAATATGTAATTAAAAAAACAATTGCATAGCAGGTAGTGGTGGAAGTTCCCCAAATCACCTCTATTGTGACACTATGAATAAATTAATTAGTGCTTGCATGTCGTGAGTTAAAACCAAAAAATTGAAAAACAAATGAGAATACACTATTCTAAACAGTTAGTTATATTTCAATGTTAATAATTTTGATTTACTATATTTATCTATTTGTTTATTTCCAAGAAAATATTATGCACGACAAACATAATTACTGTTAAAACAATCATGATCATAAAAGGTATTAAAAATCAAAGAAACTAAAAATCAATTCAGGTATATTTATCTTCTGTGTTTGGCTGTTAAAATCCAACATATTATTAATATATATATCACTATTTTTTACATTTTAATTATTATTATTCTAGTCTCTTTTTGTGGTTTTCCATTTTTGGTTAATTTTAGGATAGTTTATTCTTGTTGTTTTTTAAGTCCTTTAAATCACCTGCATCATTTTGTCTACTTTTTCTTTACCTTACCTTTTGTTTACTTGGACATGACGCTTACAGACCTTGTTTACTTGCGCCTTATAAATCGACCTATTATTATTACTATTTATTATTATTATTATTATTTTTATTTTTATTATTATTTTTATTATTATTACCATCATCATCATCATCATTATTGCTATTACCGGTATGTATCAAAGAGTAAGGCATATATTTTTCATTGATTCACTGCATGTATACACCACCAGTTATTTAAATGATTGTTCCATTATTATTGAACAACACCACATTAACTATATCATAATTTTAATATTTATCATCATCATCATTCCTGACAAGATATTTATTGATCCTATTTATACGGACATAGAATTTAATAAACAACTTCATCTTTCCATTATGAAGTGGTTTTTAGTGTAAAAAATAGTACATCTTTATTAAAGGAATCGGAATGCTCACATATCCCCAGTTTAAAGGAATGAAGTAAATCTGGTTTGTTCAATTACTAATTCCTGCTCACCTGAACAAAGGGAAAATCTTTGCATGTCTTCGATATCAAAAGCTGTTTATAATAATTTGCGCGATGAAGATGCGATTCTATTGGAAACGTCATCTACATATATTGAAGGAATAGCAACTCTCCAAAATCACTTCTAGATGCTAAATTTTGAGGAACATTGTGCACTACTTGGAATATATTAATTTGTCTGTATTTTGATCTGTATATTCGTTTCGTTATTTAATAAGAAAACTAATAGTAGGCCTAATATACATTTAGATAAAAGTTTAATTTGTAAAAAGTGATTTCTGGATAAATACAATAGAGGAGCACGACATTTAAGGCCACTACAATTGGCAGCATTTAAGTGTATGCACACCTGCAATGCTTACTATTTGTTATATAAAGTAAAATTTAATATAAAAACTCTGTGATATCAATTAGCGCCAAGAAATTTAATTTTTAAAATATGGTACTAAAATATATATATTCCTATTATATATTGAAAACATTTAATATTGTTATTTAAGATTTAATAATTAAAGTAAGAGAGATTACTAAGACATTGACTAGGAAAATTCATTAAGTAGGCTTACATAAAAATATTTTTATTTGAGAAAATTTAAACAACTAATAATTTTATCTGATATGTATCTCCTCTACTATGAGATTATAAACAAAAAACTAAAAACAATTCAAAAAAGATTTGATCTCATTAAAATAATTAGAGTGATTACCAAGAAATTGATTTCAATCAATTCTTTAATTTAAATATACAAAAGTAATTTAGAGAAAATTATTAATATTTTATTATTATAGTTGGTGTATTGGTGTATTTTAATCATTATTTATCAACTTAAATTTCAAATAATAATATGCAAGAAGATATATGCCATTTAAAATACTTTCTACTCATTGTTTTTCAAATATGTATTTTACAGAATTATTACATTTTCTATATACTTGTACAGTAGTTTGAAATGGCAAATTATTGTTTTCTATGCAAAAACTAAAAGAGTAATATTTATAATACCTTTATTTCTACAGTTGAAAAAAAATAAATATAGTTTGTTATTATGATGAGATATTTGAAGACAAGGTTATATCCATCATATTCACATTTTCTCCATTACAGATTATATTATTTCAAGGCCATATTCTATTCACATTTATTGAAACATAAACATTTTAATATTTCATGCAAGAAAATTAATTTTTTTTATGACGTAGGTAGATTTTTTCATACTTTGTTGCATAGGCTTTCTTGAGCATGCAATTCACGATATTAACGATGGAAATCTTAACGTCACGTCATCTGAACTGTAGTACATTATTTATGATAATTGAACGAGCGCGCAGTGGAGTACTTAAGCGACCAGCTACAAAAATGCCTCTACTCTACCGGTTTGCTTAAGAATATCAATGGATGAATAAACACAAAGCTTCACTTCTTCTCATACGTATTGATTATTTTATCATTGAACTGGTAATTTCCTTTTTGCGGCTGCATAAATTAGCTATTTGAAAATTAATGGAAGATCAGTGAACAAGAATTAAGTTTTTTGTGGTGTCTGACAACATTTCCTTACCTCCTCTATTCTCACTGTCTGCTGGTTTGACTTGAATTGGCCGGTTCATCTATAAAACAAAATAATTTAATACATTACTTTTTACTAGTAATTTATTTACAGTACATATTCTTTTGTGTTTATGATGAGAGTACAGAAATTTTCTGTTTTTGATGGATAAAGTTTGCCTTGTACTTGAGTGATTCTTTGGGTGATTAATTTATTTCTTTGTTCATTTTGCAAATATTATATAAAAGACTTTATATATAGAGCATATGTTAAGCATCTAACAGTTAACATCAAAATAAACAAGGACTTATAGGCTTAATCTAGCCCTAAAACTAATCCTATTGTACAACCTGGACTAAACACAATGCGGCCGTTGACTCCAAAAAGCTCATCTATCCTTTGTGTAGATATTTTTTGTACCCTTCTACCTAGTAGTCACTAAAACCACCAAATATACATATTTTTTTTTGATATATATAATTCTGTGGCTTAATATTTCAGAATGTAATCAATGTAATAAAAATAATGTAGAAATTTCTGAAGAAAATAATATAAAATAATATAATAAATAAAATATTTATTAATAATATAAATATTTTCTACTAATTCCTAACAATTAATATGTTAACTAAGCATATATATATATAGTCTCTTATACACATCTAGATGTGTATAAGAGACAGATATATATATATATATAGTATTTATAGGTTTTATTTGTTTATAATCTAAACACCCATTATCATATAGCTATGTACTGTATTGGAAAATGTCAGATATTTAGGTTCTTTTGTTCTTGTAACTGTCTATCTACACAGGGTATCTCCCAATGGATTTATTTTGTCCAAATATACAGCTTTTTCTCTAATCAGTACACTCCACTTTTATGTTGATGCTGCTTCACTGTGTTTTTAATAATCTCGGACACATGTTCATTAATAGACTTCTATAGTAGTTAACTCTTTGTAGATCACTTGGTCTTTGTTGTTGAGTGCAGTGGAGTATTAGTGACCACAAAGCACCTCCTAATTCAGAGGAACAAACTACCCTCTACTGCTGCCTTCACACCTGCTCCTAAAATAGGCCTACTACAATGATTTTCTTGAGAATATTTTATGGTTTAGTCATTTTCAGGTAAATCTTTATACTTGTACTGGTGTACCATGTACCATGATATTTTTTTTTTGAATTATCATAATATAAAAATTGTGTTGTTCAAAATATTAAAGCATAAATAATAAATTACTTTAAAGTTGTTCTACAGTGTTCACCAGTGAAAATAACAGTGATGCAATCAGGGTTAAAGTTATTTTAGATGTGTGTAAAATTTAGATACTCCCCTCCCAGCATTAAACATTTAGTTAAACTATTTAATTGCTCATTACAAAACAACAAACAACTTAACATTATCTGATGCAAGTTATAATTCAATCTTCACCGATTTACAGACTATTCTGAAATCAATTAACAGGCAATTTATTAACCAGTGCATATAATATTATTTATGCAGAAACTTATATGGCAAGAAGGAATTTTTTTTTTCATTTTTACTCTTAATTTAAATCTGACTTAACAATATTAATATTAACAATTCCAAAATTGTATTTTATTTATCAAATTCATAAGCCTATCAGAGGGTAAATCTTTAAAATAAGCTGATAGAAAATATAAAAGAAAACATTTTGAATTTATGACATCCTAATAAAATGTCAGAGAGATAAACCTATGGTTATACTGTAAGAAGTTTGCAATATGAAGTCTGAATTTATCTGTGAACCTATTAAGTAATAACAAAAAAAACTGCTTGAAAATTAATTAAATCAATTATAATTATTAAATATATATAATAAATGTATTAAATTTCCCTTACAAAAGCTTATAAAACTGATATGTAAAATGTTAAAATTTAACAAAAATTATCAGGATTAAATTTTTCAATGATATTTGCAAATTACAATACTGTCAGAGAGATAAACCTATGGTTATACTGTAAGAAGTTTGCAATATGAAGTCTGAATTTATCAGTGAACCTATTAAGTAATAAAAAAAAACTGCTTGAAAATTAATTAAATTAATTATAATTATTAAATATATATAATAAATGTATTAAATCTCCCTTACAAAAGCTTATAAAACTGATATGTAAAATGTTAAAATTTAACAAAAATTATCAGGATTAAATTTTTCAATGATATTTGCAAATTACAATACTGGCCTTGAAACAACAATTATGGTTTCTCATGGCAGCAGTAGTAATTCTAATTAACCTATAAGCTTGATCTTAATTACAAATTTTAGTTAAATGTATTCGAGTCGTGTTCCATTTTATGATCAATGCTTCTTAGATGGACACACACACTTAGCTAAACACAAAATATGTTAATGAGCTGACACTGACAGCCATGGCATTATGTAAGTGTACAAACCATTCTAAACGTTTGTACATTAACGCAAGATTTTGACCATAAAACACAAGCCTATAAAGACGTGTTATTCATATTGGCTTTTTCTTTCGACATTTTCAACTTATCAATTATGTAGGCATAATTTTAAAGAAATTCTGATGTTTTTCTTTGGTGTTCAAGGCCATGTTATTATATTGCCATCCAATTTTGGTTTACTCATTTTGTTTTAATAATTTGGAAAATGGATGGAATTGTGTAGCACCATTATCACTGAAATTTCACAAGTTGGGGTGTCAGTAATAATATTTGAATAACATATAGTCTACAGTAAGTATGACTTGAGACTCATTTATTCTGATCTTGTTAAAAAAATGTAATCATTCATTTAAAAAACATGTCTTTTTAACAATTATTTTTAAAACTAATTTGCTTGCAAAAATGACACATTTTTAATATTCAGTAACAGCAAATAATTTATATACAAAAAGTACAATGTAATACTGCTTCTGCATTTCAGATAAAATGAATATCATATTTTTATTTAGTTATACAAAAGATGAACCTATATATTCAAAATCGATCAAAATTCAATGTAGATATCAAAACAATTCAATTATATATACAGTACAGATAAATTCTTTTAGCAATTGTCTATCAGAAGACTGTTGTCAAATACAATAAATTAATTATTGTATAGTTTATTTATATTAACATGCAATTTTTTATTTATTGTATAATAGGCTGTAAATTGGTGCTTGCCTCATGTTTATCCCTCCCTTTTCGCATTTTAATGTAAATTATGAAGTACGTATTGTTATATTAGTAGTACAGTACCGTACTCTCGTCTGATATGACGAGTCTTATGCAGTGGCATATCTAGGGATAGCGGAAGACACACAAAAAATCTTTCCCCAGTCGTCACCACTCCCAGTGTTCCTTTTCCCGAACAGGGTTGGCTACTTAATACTCTCAGGTCCCAACCTACCTGTGGGATATTTCATTTGTTGGGAAATTCTCGCCGGTGTCGATTCCCACACCTGCTGGGAAAATTATCCACCCTTTTCTTGTACAGTTGATGAGTTTTTTTGTAGAAAAATGTAAAGCCTGTTTTTCCACATTCTATCAGGGTTTTTGCAGAGCCAAAAAATGCGCAAACAATCAGAGTTCAGGAAGCGAACCGACGTTTTTTATTCGCACTAGTAGGCGAATTTATTCGCGCAAATCGAAAGCGTCGGTTCATATGAATGTGCATTCACATTTGTATCAGAGTTTTTCGCTTCTGTTTCTACTTTTTGCGAAGTGAAAAAATCCTGGAAAAAATACGCAGCACATGGAGTTCAGGAAGCGAGCCGACGCTGTCGATTCGCGCGAATGAATTCGCCTGCTGAAAACAGGCTTAAATAAGGTAAAACGCACCGTGCCTTATATTATCATGCAAGAGGGCACGTCGAAGGTGCACTGAACTTCTCAGTTTGTATGTACACTATGGAGTCTGTGCTTAAGCCTATTGTACTGAACACTTGTCGTTCTTCACCTACCAAATCTCC